GGAGGGGTCAATAAAGAGGGCCTCTTGCGCCTGATTCCATTATGTGTGGTCTAGGTCCGCCGCACAAGACACCCTTCGCCTCCACCCATCTCCCCTATCCTCCCCTCTCCCTCTCCCCGGGCTTCTCTCTTTCCCCCCGTACGACAAAACCTCCCCCCTCCTCATTGACTCTCAACAAGGCGGGCTTGTTACTTCGCCGCCCTCGGCCGCCCTGGACGACATTCTGCCGGGAAAATATATATAAAGAGCAGCAGCAGAGGGCCGGTGGCCCGGTGGCGGCCGGTCGCCTCGGGACGCTCGGGCGTACATCACATCACCTCGTACTCGCCTCGTACGGGCAGCGCGGGATCTGCGAACCGGTCGCTTTGTAGTCACATTATACACCCTGTCGTATACAGTATACGCCCATTATACACCCCTGTGCATTAGCACAATATTACGCAGCCATATTTAAGTACAAAACTTATTGCATATAAATATGTTACGTTAGGCTTATAGTGGATACATGATGCATGAAAAAGTGTGCGTAATATTCTCTAATTCAGGGACTACCCAGAAAGTACGCCTTAATTTGCAGTTACGAAACTGTCAAGTTCAGCCAAATGCAAGTTTTTTAGTGCAAGCGCCGGATGGGTAGGCAACGTTTTTCATACAGTGCATGCGTCTACTGCGGGTCGGCCTACCCTGAGTCTCGCAGGCGACGAGCTCCCGAAATTAACCGCGAATGAATCTGAGAGAGAAACCGACTTACTTTCTGGACGATCCCTTATCTTGGTGTATAGAACTGGTTCTTAGTCGGGAACGCCTCGACCCGCCCGTACTACACCCCTGCGAGCGGTCTCCATCCAGAAAAGTCCTGCGCCTCAAACAAAAACGCGTTAGCAACTAACTGTTTGGGAGAGATGGTCCATCAGCTGGAGAGCCCCGGCGCACGGAGGGCCTCGGCCGCCACCGGGGCACGAGCGGGGGGCACGCCCATTTATAAATTAGGTCACGCAGGGGGCGCTACGCGGCGCGGCGGGCAACAGCCAGCAGGCAGGCAGGGCAGGATAAATCATGGCGAAATTACGAGGTGGAACCGTGCGGGCCGTGCGGCGGCATGAGCATGGGAGAGGGGTGATGCGGGGCGGGGGGTGTTCCCCGAAAACTCACGACTTTGTTTCTCTGTCGTTCAACAAACGAGTTTGGCTTTGCGGCGATCGCTATGCATGCACTACCATAGTGCACCATAGTGCATACAAACAAGTGCAACTGCAGGCCACACAATTTGTCGGGGAATCAATCTCTAGCTCTGAAACGGTCCAAGGTGGGGCATCACCCCATTCTTCCCCGGGCGGGCAGACAGACAGACAGACAGACAGACAGACAGACAGACAGACAGACAGACAGACAGACAGACAGACAGACACGGACGGATGGACGGACGGACTTAAGACACAAGACAACCAGATCGCAGAGCTTTATTGCCTTTCCTAAGTAGAAGGGCGGGCTAAAGTAACTGTAAACTTTTACCCGAGAGGGAGAGAGAGAGGGTCTAAAAACAACTTCCGTTGCCTTTACATTCATAATATGTCGTCGCTTCTGTTTGGTGAGATCCTTGCGACTGCTTGCTTGCTTGCTCACCACAGCATGGCACGAGAGACACTACTCGCGGCGAGAGAAGAGGGGCGTGAAATTAAAGGACC